TCTTCGACATAATATAATTATTTATTAATGACTTGGTACCTATACTGCTATTTCACTTAGAAAATGCTATTTCAAATATATCTAGCAAAGCCAAGAAAGCTCACGGGAAATTTGTTCAATATCTAATTGTCTGTAAAACGTTATTCCGATATTACCTTGGCATTGAAATATTACTCTTAACTATTCAACCATGATAGTTTATGATTGAATTACAATACCTCAAACGGATGGATTTTCCTTATGAAACACTAGCACGTATAACAATCTTAACAAGCGAAATCCTGGCAAACAATAAAAGTATGGTAAATTGTAACAATGCAATACTGTGTAGTAAGCAAAACGTGTGTTCTTTTTATTAAAACAGCGAATCTTGAACAGTTTTCGTAGTAATTAGGCAAGTCGCAGCTGTTATTAAATGCGGCGGTTAATAAATGTAAATGACCCTAAAAAGCCTAATAATATGCTCAAATTTTCATTAAGGAGCTTTTGAAGGACTTTGGAACTGAATTTTTTGTCTAAGATTACACATTACTGTAATTTATCTTATAAACTAATAAAAACAAAATCAACATGTTTTGTTCTGTAAATATTGCATCGCCATGGGTATATTTACAAAAGTCGTATTTCGCTTCATATCACGTTGTTTGGCTTTAGCTAAGCATAAAATATGGTTCGCTAAAATAAGAGAAAACATTATAAAACAGAACATACGAGGAAAAGCCGTTTATGACCCGGCGCCGTGCGATGTGATCCCTTGGTAATGGAATGAGAAAAATAATTATAGGAAGCTTTGTATAGTTCATTCAATTATATACCTAACTTCACTTTGATCAATCTATGTGAAATAATACATCATTGCCTAATTTCACTCTGATGAACAAGGCTAAGGACTTTCCATAGGCGCTATTTCACATGTACATTATTAAATTAGATTAAAATCTTTGTTAAAAGTTGCAGTCAGGTGTGTTTTATTATACAATTTCAAAACATACTATATTACTTACAATACGAATTTAATGAATCAATAATAAAATATTTTAGAAATAATGGCAACGTACGAATCGTCGTATTATTTTTGATGTCAACAACTAATCAGAATAGTTTTATACAAAGAAACAGAAACAAAATTTATTCAGTTTCTCTTATTACATTATCATATCAAAGGATTATCAAATCTTCAAGAGTGTGAACACTTGAATTCCGGCAGGGCTTGAACCCCATACAATTAGACAATGATAAATGGTTCGGGAAAAATCTCATCTAAATATTTAATCGAAAACTCCCCCTACTAGTGCGGAATGCGTTGACTATGTCCAATGTCCCCTACTAGTGTAGAATACATAGAACATAGGGTCCTAGTTTTGTGGGCGAGAGCAATGTGTCACGTTTATCTCGCCTAATTAATTATTATTTCTAATAATCCAGCATATAAAGGAAAGTATGTTTTCTTATATCCGAGTCAAAAATTTCCTTTATGGCACTGACTACAATTCATTTTTGATGAACAGAATACTTAATAATACAAACTTAGCGATATAAAGAAACCCAGTGGCGCAAAAACCTTTAAGGTCTGGGTCTCAGATTTGTTATCTGTTTCGTGATCATTTGTTTTGTTATAGGTGATCTGCCTGATGTTTCTGATACATGGCGTCCAATTTTTTGGGCGTGAGCCATGCTGGCTTCCTTACGATGTTTTGCTTCATCGTACGGGCTAGTGTTAAATGCGAACATAGAAATTCTATTAGTGCACAGCTGCTGAACCTACGACAACGAGAGTCGCAGGCCACTAGGCCAACACTGCTCTTGCCTTTCCATGGGAACGAAAGCAAATGTCGGGCACGGACATAGCGCGTTTATAAAAAATACTGTTCTAGTTAAGAAACAAAATAGTAACGTTTTTAAAAATGTTGCACTTATTCGATATAACACGCCACATTTGACAAAGAGTGCATCGGAATGCACTGAGGGTGTCACCCCTGTATCCAATGCAAATAATATTTCTTCCCGACAAAATATTGCATTGTTAATACCGCTAAAATGCCTCGCCAGCCCTATTGTGTTTGTATGGGTTTTATTAGTTCGTTTTATTAGCCGCGAAAGGGCATCGAAATATTTGATCTAAAATATGACTATAATTTAGGTTAATTTATTGGGTCCTACATTTTCATCCTAATATTACAAAATTATTTACGAAAATATACAAATAAACGAAATTAGATTAAGATATGTAAAATAAAATAAATACCTATAAATATTTTTTCCTTTATAGCAAACTGCCAACCCTGGCTACGCGATAATCGTAGGGGCGTAGAGATCTCGCAAAAAAAAATGTATGCGAAAATGAACATGAAAATGAAATACATGAAATTAATAGAGTAAAAACACTGAAGAAAAATACTCGTCCAGTCGCTTAAATGTTTAAGTGGCGCTTACATAGTAGTTGCCTGGAAAGATCGTTCAAAAGCGATAAGGCCGCCAGTTGCCCTCCTTTTCATTTAATTATGTCAATTGTATTATATTTCTGTATCTGCAACGAAGTCTTAAGAAATAAATATTTGTTGGCGAAACCAAACAAGTAAATCTAAATCAATTTTTTAATACATTATTATTATTACAATGTTGTATTTTGTTTGGCAAAAGGGCACCTATATGCTATAATGAGATATATAAATCAAGGCAGAAATATGTCAGTCCTATTTTGGAGTAACTTCATAAAAATTAAATCATGCAAAAAATGGTTATATGTTATATGGTAGATCTTTCATACTCTCTCTTAAACTATTATTGAAGCGTGTCTTAATTACTGTAAAGTTTGCGATATTTTTTAACACATAGTGAAAGTTATTATATAACGTAAACACATATGCTTTCATTATGTTCACGGTAATTACTATGATCACGATTTTCACGTAATTAAATACTTTTAATCGTCAAAACTTCCGCACATTTTAATATCATAAACTAGATTGTATAGGGAAATTGCATTAATATGCGTTTATATTGAAGTAATGAAGTTGTATTTTTTTAAAACAGACAGTGTATTATTATATAAAGTACAATTATGGTAATAAAGTACAATTGTACATACAACATATGTTTTTTTCTGTTACTTTATTATTTATTTCTGTAACATACTTTGCTGTTCTGTAGTTATACTTGCTAATATTACCTACCAAACCGAAATTATTATTTATTATTTACTTATTATTATTACTACGCAACGAAATTCTTTTACCAAGTTTTGTGTTGTTACTAAGTCTACTGATATAAAAACTCCCAAAAGTAAAAAAAACAATACTTACTACCATTACTACGGTTTTTTAATATATAACACACACTTCGTATAAAAAATTAATTACTTATTACAATTGCAATTACAGTATAAAGATTGTACTTAAATTCACTATAACAATAAAACACCGCCTTATCTTAGAAATGGGAGACAATTTTTCGCAAGAATAGGATAATGTTAGGGTTTCGAATAATTTTCTAATTTGCCTTCTAAGCCGTGGCTTTTCGGTTTTCCCCCAATCTTAAATTGCACCTTAAACTTCGTCTTCCTGACCTATTTAGGGAAATACACGTTTCAAGTTCGGCTTTTAACGCATCTATCCCTTTCTTACATTAAAGGATAAAAAGAGACACATTTGCCAATGTTGATAGCATCGGGAAATTGCATACTTTGGTTGGAAAATTCTTATAGGATGTTTGTAACGGTTTGATTTTTTTCAACACCTAAAAATATTTTTCTGTTTTTTTGTGTGTAGTAGAATGTTTATATTATACTTATTATATATATACTTTTATATACATTCTTTAAAAGAACATTGCTAAATGGAATGCTGTCTTAAGACTTTTGCCTTGTAAGTGTACTCTTTATTCAATTTAAAAAAAATATATCCTATTATTTGAATTGCCATAATACAAGGAAACTGTATTTTCGAGGGTTATTCGCGAATTGGTCGCGTGGCGCTCTTAAATCACTTAACTAGAGCGACATCGCGTACCCTTTAAACTTTGTTCTGCTGAAATGGGACTAGAAAATTCATTTAACAGAATTTTGTATAACGTAAAACTTGTGTCAAAGACTAAACTCTCAGTTACGTTCATAGCAATGACTTTTAAGAATATTTGTTACATTCATTCTTGATACATTTCTGATATACGAGCATCCTTACTTGTTTTAATTCATTCAACTAGTAAAGTTAACAACCGTTTCATGTTTAAGTCACGCCTATACACTGCACTATTGTACATACATACAATTGTGTTGATTGAAACTCTAGTAGAAGTACTATGAACTCCTATGGATTTATTTTCGTAGAAGGAAGTAAAGTTTTTTCTAGAAAAATAAATCCTACTTGGAATGATATAGGAACGCACGTAACTTGTACGTTCTACAAATTGATCGAAGAGGAATTCGTAGAGTTTGTTAAGACTTCGGCAAGTTGCTTTGTAAAGACAACTTCTGGGAACGTGCTCTTTTATCAGTTTATTTAACTTTCACGTATGTCTTGCTCGTAATACACTCTATATGTATAAAATCAAAATCTTATAAAATTAGAAAAGTGATTTTATATAGATATTGCTACATACCTACAATTAAAATGTACTGTTACTAAAATGATGAATAATGCAAAATTATACGTATAAACAAAGATATTATAGAATGGAATTACAAGGCTATATCCAAACACTGAATCTAATTACCTAACTATTGGCTAGACCCTTCGTGGTTCGGAATATTTATTGCTCCTACTTTTCACATAATTGAGTTAACTAACTTTGTGGACACTTGAGAGCAATTTGTCAAAACCTTGATAAGCGTTGGTCCAAGAAATTGTATCTATAATAAACTTACCAATAATTTACCCCATGAATTACAATATTTGTCATTTTCTTTTCCGAACGTAGATAATAACCGATCATTGCTCCAATAGACTAACACTAGTGAACTATTTAAATTATAGCACAAGTTTTAAACATGAAATTAAATTATAATGACAAGTCCTAGACGTATAAAAAAGAGTGGTCAGTGCATAGCAACACAAGTGGATTGGGATTCACCTTCAACTGAAACAGGAACAGTTATACGAAGATCTTCTTGTCCCGAAAATACAACTAAATATTCTGTTGCAACACAAAATTTTATTGAAGAAGTGGTTACACCATCAGATTCCGAAGCTGGTGCTACAAGAAGTTTAAATGAAGAGACTACAAATCCCCTCTTAGATGTAGAACAAAGAATATCATGTATTATAAATGAGAATCGAAGTTCACAGAGCAATTCCGAAAGTGATGTTGAAGCTATAATAAATACAATTTTTGAAGAACCAAAGGAAGAAAGTTCAATTGAAAGTCAATATGCTGTTGTTAAACGCGACCGAGGTAAAACTTTTATTAAATCAAGCGAAACAAAATCCAAATTTATACATAATTTGAAACAAGCATCATGTAATATAACTTTAGAACACAATCATAAAGCAAAGCCTTTACAAAAATTAAACAAATCTTTAGATAAAGTAAAAAATTCTATGATATCCAAAGACACAATCAAAATTGAAAGTAAGTCAAGTGTTCTACCAGTGTATAAAAGTAAAATTATTGATCAATCTATAGCTTTTAATGAAGATAAACAAAGGAAAAAGGTAATTTCAAAACTAAAGTTGCCTTTTTCACCTTCCCGAGTAATGGAAAGACCAAAGCCAAACTTTTTACAAGATAAAACACAAGCGAAAGATGCTAAACCTCAATCATTATTAGCCACTCCTGTTAGAAGAACAATATCAAACGAATATGTACGTTTGAAATTTACTAATGACACTGTTGTCCGTCGAACTATCGATGGAAAATCCATACCAAAAATAACGCCCAAAATTCAGTCCATAATTCCTGAAAGCCCAGTAGATAGCGAAGATCCATTCCTCAATTTAAGCCCAAATAAAAAATATACAGTTACCGTGAACAATAAAGTGAGATGTGACAAAGATAATTATGTTATATTTGATCCTAAGACGGGTTTTAGTGCGGATCGAACTAAATCACGTATACCCAGTGGAAAGACAACAGAAAAGTCTAAAATTCCACTCAAACCACCAAGTGATAGATCAATAAGTGAACCCAAAGTAAGTGCAAGTGATTCGGACAGTGGTATATTGTCGCCAAACTCTCCTGGTGATGGCAAGCAATACTATGTTAATGCTGCTGTCTTTAGTGAAAGTGCCAAGAACCGTGCAGCAGATTTGGATATCAGAATCGTCGACCCAGATGTGGCTAAAAAGGCAACAGAACAAATTAAGGTCAGTTTTATTTATTACTCATTTAACTTTTAAATATTACTTGTTACTTAGGAATACATACTATTTGTGTTGTACGTCGATTATCAAGTTGTTAATTTAAACTTCATCAACCGTGAAATCATAATTCTTTAGGCGCTGCTAGCGCCATCTCTTAGACGGTAGGGTTAAAAAAAATGCGTATGAAAGGAAAAGCAAAATATTTTTACTGGTGTTAAAATGTTATTTTGTACACTATATTTGAGAATGAACTTACTTGATTATTATTGGTATAGTTTTTAATTTCGAATTCCGTAGCGCTGTTTTTACGAACTAAAATAATATTGCTATTGCCCGCTAGGTGGCGCTAATATAAAAGCTATACCTGTTTTATTCTCCTCCCTTGATGTAGTGGCTATGTAAGTACATCTATTACTCGACACTACCTCATTATTCGGAAGCAATCGTGCAGTTAATATCCAAATGGGTCCATTTAGTGAAAATAATGGATGGTAACCGCCCGTGTTATATGATGCTTTTGTAATGATGGTGTTTTGTACGCGTGGGCAATTATTATAGTGCCTGCAATCAACGAATGCTTAACTGAACCATTAAATTAATTGTTCGTTTCATGTAAAAGAACGCATATTCTTTTGTCTCATTAATCAGTATGGACAATTATGTGCATTTGAACCGTTTACAAAATCATTCATGATGACAATTTTGATACTTGATACTGGATTAATGTAAAAAAGGTTTTAAGTTTATTCGGAAAATAATTCAAAAGTTTTTAATATTTTTTTATATTGAATGGGATGTCAAATTTCTTTGTGAATAAACGTGAAGATATATATGTATTACATATATACATACATATTATGAGACATTTAGTATTTGATTTCTTTGAGAAGATTTCGTATTGCAAAGCTTTCGAGTAGGATCAAGAAGATACGGTATAAGAAAACAATTTTTTTTCAGATTAGCATACAATAATTGACTAATTCCGTTGTCTCGTAAAATGTCGGTATATATATTTAATGTTTTTTTTTTGTATAATCGCTAAGCCGATCACACACATTCAGTGAGAATCTGAAGCCCTATAATCTGCTTATTACGTGATCTGACAATAACTTTGACGCGAATGTATAATTCCTATCATTAAAAATATTTATTTATTTACGAGAATGAAACTGATAATCAAACAATGAATTTAAAATTCTTCATGAATGTATTAATGGGAAGTATTAATTAAAGCTTAAATAAAAATCAAACACAATAGGTACATTATATGAGAGATATTATAGATAAAATATATGAATATACATATTTATAATTTTGTCAGGTTTTGTATATAGCCTTTTTAACGAATTTCATTACATCAATGTCAAACGTAAAGAAATTCGTTTTAAAATTTAAAAAATTAATGAACGCGACACACTGAATAGCGTAGAACGAATTAACAGTATATTTTGAATAAAAACAGTAAATTTCAAAGCATTAATGCATTATCTGCTAATCGAAAAGAATAACAATATACTTTTTATTGACGTTCATAAGCTACCTTTGATATTGATGTATAATCAATATCAAAGATCAATATTTAATTGGATAGGGTAGGAAATGTATGTGTTACCATAAAACGCCACCCTTAAACATACCACTGCATGTTTTTGCGACAGCTAATCATTTGAAAATACTGCATTTATACCGGGATTTTAGTTAGTTTAAGCTGTTTGCTTCAAGAGCTACAAAAGTGCTCTTTTACAAACTGTTGCATTTTGTTTACATTGTACTGACAACGTACTTTGTTTCTTTAGGTTTACTTTGATCTCGCTCTTAATTATAGCGTTTTGAAATTTTCAAAATGATCTCTTTGTACTAAGCGTTATAATTATGTTTATTTTCTAATTACTTTAAATTAACGGTTAAAGGCGTTGAGTTCGTTATCTTCCTTTTCTCTTGTATAATTTTAATGGACGAGTTTTCTGAATTTTACGTATCAAGTAATTCCCTAAAAATAATCTTGTATTGGTTGTACAAAGCACGTATCATATTGCATATTTTTATCTATTTACTACTACTATTTTGCCTTTACAGCGATGAAACTAAATAATCATAATTTGATCTTGATATAAACCTATTAACCTAAAGTTACTACATTAATTTAAGAAACTAAATCTGTAGCCAAAGGTTTATAACAAACAGTATAATTATTACTAGCTCGCACTATAGTCTATAATCGGAAATATTGGGTAGGCTTAAATTAATTAAATCAATCATGATGTGTCACCAAAACAACACCATTATTGTCGATTTCGACAAATTCGCTAGTTTACTAAAAATTGGCGCCATTATGACACCACTGACTTTGTCATTGCACACAATTTCAGTAATCTCTTAACAATTAATAGACCAATGACAGGTCGATGGTATGAAAAATTTGTATTCTCTTACTTTGACATAAATTCGCCATCGCCCATCGGGCATCGAACAACAATCGATGATAAACGATCATTTTTAACAAACCGTTTCACTGGTATTGTTGTGCTTTTTAGTTTTTAATAACAAGGCTGCCTCACACGTAAATTTCGATGAATAGCATCGTTTTTATAGTCTAAAACGGATTATTTCTTCGTATTTGACCGTATTTTAATAACCCAAAACCATATCCTAGTTGAAATAACTAAGGCCTTAGCGACGAACTTCCTTTTTTTCTCAGCAATCAAATCGGTGCCGAAGTGTTGGAAATAATGGTACTTATGGTTATACATGATTTTTGTGTCAGGGAGCGTTCAAGTATTACGTAACGCAATTTTTGGAGATAATTGACCCCCATGTAACTCGTCGTAACGTTTTCACTACCCTCCCAAGAAGTTTTCACACACCAAATGCTCATCACATCGATGTTTGTCTCAGCCGGGTATCGAACCCGGGACCCATGGATTCGCAGTCAGGGGTACTAACCACTAGACCAATGAGCCGTACGTATTTTGTATTATTCTTGTGCTTTTTATTAGGTTCCAATAATTTATTTCAAACTTTTCAGCACTAGTTGGTATGTACTAAAGTACAAAAGATTATATAAACTCCTGTGGAGTAATGCAGTTATGTAAAAATTTGAAGAGCACCTTCTGGGTTATTAAAGGTCAATGGTGTTGACGAATGTCTTTGTTTGTTAGTCATATTGTGTTGTATTTTTTTAACGAGTAAGCTCCTAAGTGGGTTCAATTAATAATACAGAGTATAAAGCTTTATTTAAGTTATAAATTAAATCTATTAATATATGTAATCAAAGAGTAAATACAGCAGTAGCAGAATACCAGAGGTCTGGGCTTTTCAGCAAGTTCTAGTTGAGATAGAGGAGGTATAGTTAAGATTTTAAGTCTCAAATTGTTCTCTTTATCCTGTAAATACTTGATATTTTAATGAAAGTACAATTAACGTATATTACAATTAATTACATACGTTAATTTCTTATTTATCTATTATCTTTTTTTTTACTTAATTTTATAGTGCAATAGCATTATTAAGCTAATAAACAGTTATAGGTAGTGTAACATAGTATTTTTCTTAAAATTAGGTTCAACCAGCAAGTATCTCGATAGTCGGTACTATTTTAATAAATTTACAAAAGTTTTACTAGCACTGAAGCTATTGATTTAATTTGTAAAGTGTAGTACAAAAGTTATTGCGTCCATACAAGAAAAAGAAGTTTTCTCCTTTTTATAAGTTTCTTTTCAATGCTATTAACCAATGAATAAAGATTCAGAAACTATAAAACAGATTCAAAGGACTTAAAATAAAAATAAACTTTTACTAATATGTGTGCTATAAGACAAAATTCTTCTGTAAATTTTATAAACAGCATTTAATAAAGAGCTACTTACCTATATAATTTGGGCTTTTAAAACTATTCATTAAGCATTTTCAAAGAAGAAAGTTGCGAAATAAATAAAACCGAATATAAATATTCGGTTGTATTTAGTTGTATTTTAGTCTACAGCATAATAGTAATATTATAGATATCTGAAAATTTACATCAAAATTAGTGTTCTTCGTCCGGAAATAAACGTATATGTATCCTATTACATTAGACGGCATTTTACGACAAATAATTAAGTTTTAAAGCATTCCACATTGGAGAAACACACTTACAACTGTCGCCGGTACCGGTTTTCGTCTGTGATCTGTTATACCTACTATTTGTAACATGTCTAAGTAAATGGTAAAGTCATACAATTATCATTCCATTTAGAATTTAGCGGACTACCTATTTTTGCGAACGTGACAACTCAGTGGTCTTCACACTATAGGTAACACAATTGTAAATAACAGACTGGGCCCCCCGATTGATTGTCTACTTGCCTATAATAAAAAATACAACAAACGCCACCAATATTGTATTTATAGATCAGTCTATCTTCTGCGAACAACAAGTCATTCAATATTTAAATATTTTACGTAAACTGTGAAAGCTTCTTGAAATTTCTATAAAAACAGAGGATGTTCTAGGAAAGTCGTTTTGATGTGAAATCAAAGGGAGCCCGCGGGCGGTACGCCGCTCACGTGCACCCATAACCTAATTATTCATAGACTTTTTGCTATAAGACAGGGAAATTTTCTAGTACTAGCTGAGTTTTTTATAGAATAGAGGAATAACAGGTAAAAATAACATTTGATATTACCTCTTAATTGAGCAAATAATTGGTATTTCTGTACCTTAGAATTTACGATTACCAAATAATTATTTATCAATTGTACCTATAATTATAGCATAATGGAATTATGCCGAAATTAATGGTTTTACTTGAAATTTGTTTCTGGTATAAATACTTTAAAATTTTAAAAACTTCTAAACAATACAAATTTGTTATTAGCTAATTTGACTTATTGAAATAAATTGTTTCTTTCAGAGGTTCATTAGTTCCACTCATTGACAGTTTTTTTTAACTTAGATGTTCTTATACAACAAAGTTTTTACATAATCGATTCATATCATTTGCAATAAAAGCCAAATGTTTTAATTAACTGAGCAAATTGTCAAAGCTAAGTTCATA